AGAACATGGATTTCTTAATATTAATAATCCTCGTAGCTTTTGCCTCTCCGTCACCTTAACAGTCCGATAAAACATCTTATCGCGCTTACTCCCCTTAATCATTTCTCATGGCTATTCTTTGGTATTTCAAACACTCGCACAGCCATTTATACACGCCGAATAAAGACTAGAACCTCTAAACGCAGCTACGCTACACATGAAAACACCCTATCTACATCGATGCCGATTTGCCTCGCGGCTTTGGACTTCGCGCGTTAGATCAATCCTTAAGACGATACAAACTTTGAAAACATAACAAAGATAAATAATATAGCCTAAGGATAGCTTCATTCGGGACTACGATAAATTATTTTACTACCATTAAATTATTATATGAAGTGAGGCGGCAACGTGTTTTTTTTTTTGTTTTTTTTGTCGTGGCGGGGGGGGGGGGGGGGGCGGGTTGGGGAGGTGTTTTTTTTTTTTTTTTTTTTTTGTTTTTGCGTTTCTTGTTTCTTTTCTTTACTGTCGTGGTAAAAATATTAGGGGAAGGAGTTCCTCTCGTGTGCTGCTTGAACTTTTGCCTTGAATATTGCGAGAGGCAGGCTATGTATTTTATCATTTTATCATTTTGTTGTTGTTTCATTCTTTCCGTACTTCGTATGCGAAGATCTGGATTTTCACACGCGCAGGTATATTACTTCGTGAATAAATATCAATTTTAATTGGCGCAGTAACAAAGTGTCTGCAATTTTAATATTATTATCTAATCGAATGTCATGGTAATTTATGCTAATAATGCTACATGTAGTTGGAATTTCAAAGTGGAACTCGGGATTAGAAACGTGGATTATATATTTGCAATGCATTAAATATATTTCGATGGCAAATCAATAATAATGGTTAAGCCCGGAACTCGGGAGCAGACTTTTGCACGATCAATTGGAATGCATCTGTAATTTAATAGAAAGAGAGGGTGTTGGTCCAATCCCGCGAAGTCAAAGGGGCGCCGCATCACTAACCGTTAATATATTTTCTAGTAATGCTTATGTCTTAAGTGTTGGTATGATACATTACACGACTTAAGAATTCCACATTATCGACAGAGGTACGTCATTTTTTAAAAATTTTGTTATGAGTTTACGTGATAAAGTTTTCGCGAGCGAGCATCCGAGACGCAGCTCAGTGACCCGCTTTCGTCTTATAATAATTATATTTTATTTTATATTTTTTCCCTTGCACTTTTTTCCTGTCACTCAATCGTATAAGCTGCCCCTGGCGCTCTTTCATACGTAACAAATAATATTGGTAAAAGAGTTTATTATATGATACACTCGTTAATTCGAAATTTCAACGATTAACACGTCGGATACTCGGCTCGTGATGGTAGAGTAGTATTCTGTCTTTGGTGCGATGCAATTTTATTTTTTTGCTTTTTCTTTCATAGGGAAAATATTTTACGCCAATACGGAGTTTTCCCATTCAAATGCGCGATTGATAATTTAACGAAGAAATTTCCACTCGATTCGTTGGGAAATAGAGCTTCATTTACAGTTTTTTCTTTTATTGTTATCATTATAGAGTCATATACATATAAATTGTCATAAAAATTTTAAATTGTAAAATCTTTTGTAAGCTTTTACGTAGATGTAATAATCCGTATAGTCAACTTCCTCCCTGAGTAACATGGAGAAACATGAAAATATTATTTTAATTTATCGAATTAAACTTTTATTTAGTATTTTAGTTTGATATAAGATATTAATAATTTGCCATTAATTAATCCAGCTTATATAAATAAATAATGAATAATAAATTACTTTAGAAGACGAATTTCTATTGAGAACCTATGAATCGAGAGAACTTTTCCTTTGTGACATAATGACATTCATTGAAATATACGACGTAATGCTCTTACATTATAGTATATAACGATCAACCAAATAAAGATTTCCGTCCTAAGAGTTTGTACGGAACATTGAGGGCTTACACAAATTCATCTTTAAAGTTGCCCAAAAATGAGTTTTTCTAACGGTTTTACAAAAATACATAGGGATTTCGAACCTTTAAAGCTCACGCAGTCTCGTTATTAAGTGAGCTGCGTACAATTGAAGCGCAATGTGTAGCGCATAACGATGAAAGAAAGAGAGAGAGAGAGAGAGAGAGAGAGAGAGAGAAAGAAAAATGAATCCATTTACGAAAGCTCGTATTTTACCGAGTATCCGGCGTTTGCTCGATTATCTTACGTATCGGTATATCACTTACATGTCACGCTATTTACAACGTATTACTTTGTTAATTCTCTCATCCATAATCTTCATCTTCCTTGCCTCGTCGCCGGGATAAATTCGAGGATGACGTTGTCCTTTTCATTTCTTCTTACATTTTATTACATATGTATGTATACACGCGTGCACACGCCCCCGTGATTTTCATCGACGCGGCAGAGAGCAGAAACTCGACGTTGGGATGGCAGCATTCAATGGCTTAGTAATCATATATGGCACACACAGAGCATCATCGACAATACCATCACGGACTGTCCAGCAGGGGATGTGGAAGGGCGGAGGGGGCTGGATAGGTGGATGGAGGGTCATACATATCCACATGCACGCGGGGGGGGGGGATGGGGTTTGGTGGCGGGGAGGGG